CCTCCCGGCCCGGACCGCCACAGGCCCCCTGGCCCAAAAGACATAGGATCCCAATCACCCAAACCCTGGGAGGAACCGGACCTGTGGAGAGAAACATCAATTCAAGAGACCGGCACGGCGAACATATTCCCACCTCCCGATCCTCTGAACCACCTGCACCAGCATACCAAGCCTAGAGACCTCCGTGGCAGCACCAATGTGGTAGGAATGGCCATCATACAACTTGCTACCAATCCCCAGGCACTCCAACCCCAAGCTGATAACTGAACTGAACCAGATAAACTGAAAATGTGAGAGAAAACTCCCATCCGCATGCACCAGGAGGGGTCCCGATGAAGCCCGGCGGAGGAAACAGAACCCATTTAAAAAATAAAATGGGGCAAATCACAGAACCCTGAACTGAATATAAGTGATCGACTTACCCTTTCCGAAGACGTCTTTGAGCGCCAAATCTTGAAGGAAATACAATCAGCAGCACAATGATCATCCACAAACAACACTCCTCAAATGCAGTGCTTACTCGGGCATACCAGCTCCCCAATGCGCTTGCCCCATAGAACATAAGGAAAAAGGCTAGATGAAATAAACAAGCTTCAAGACGGAATGGCAGACCTGGGGAAGCACCTCACACAAATTCAACAGGAGCAGACACTGGTCTTCGAGTCCCTAGAAGAAACCGCCCACCCTTCAGCGCATGACGAACCACGAATGCCTTGGTAGAATCTTCCCAGCTGCTTGACCACAGTAAGCTAAGCCCTGCACAGCTAGAGGAAATGGCAGTGGGGAACATGCCAGCAGACTCCCAATTCCCCAGGAGACGCAACAACCCACACAAGCGAGCAGACGAATAAAATCTTAAAAAATAAATACATGTTTACGGTCCCACCTGTCCCAGACATCCCACACCTTACTGCAGCTGGCCCTCATGACCCTAGAGATAGACTCACAGACCAGTTCCATCAATCTGCCAAACCCAGTGACACATCTCCTACGGGCCCACTGCGAACGAGAGAGAGCATCCGCTATCACATTATGAATGCCAGGAATATACTCAGCCCTACAAGACACATTGAGGGACAAGCAGTGAAGCACCAAATGCCAAAGCAAGCAAACCACAGCGGGAGAAGTGGTTTTCAGCTGATTGGACAGGGAAGGGGCAGAAAAGATGGGGGAGAGGTGGGAGAAAAGACAGAAGGAACAAAATGAAAAGGGGGACCAGAAATGGAGGGGAGGGGACCAAAAATGGAGGGAGAGGGGCCAGAAAGGGAGGGAGAGGGACCAGTGAGAGAGTGGGGGTTCCCAAGGAGGAAGAATGGACATGCCAGCAGAGGGGGACACCAAGGGGGCCAGTCGAGAAATGGGGGGAGAGGAGCAAGGAGGAGGTGAACCCCCAGACAGCTTTTCATCTGCAGAGGAAAGCCCAGAACCAGTGAAGAACCTCGACCACCCCTCAATGGCGGCACACCACCGCACTGGATGCAGGCCTGCCATTGCACCGACCACAAGGCTCCAGGAAATCCTTGCTGCGGCCTTCTGTCTTCTGGGGCCGACTCCCAACGCTGGGAGGAGCAGGCCACGTGTCAGTAGGGTCAGAAATGTGCGCCTCAGCCCGGGACTTTGGTTCCCATAATGGGCCCAAGGTGCCTTGTCGGGACTCAAGCGCGCTGGGGGATGGAAATGCTGGCCGGCGCTAGTGCGGCCTTCATGATCCGGGGTCGCAGGTGAGGCCCAAGCAGGGAGTTGGGGGGTGGGATGGGGGGCGGGGAGCAGACCAGCGACCAAACCAGGATGTATGTAAGAAAACTGCTCACGAAGGTGCCGACCACTTCTCTGAAAAGGCAGCGTTTAAAAAAAGCCTGCAGGGACTTACTATAGCCACCTGAACCACTACATTAAGCTGTAGATGTTCTGGTGACTATAGTATCCCTTTAAGTAAATCCATATATTACACTAAAAAGCCTTGTACCCAGGAGTCGGGGACCCTTAGCTCACCCCTGCCTTGCCCATGTCCTTGTTACTGCCACTAGCAGTTCTGAAATGCTCTACCTGCTTTAATCACCAGGCAAATGTTATATTAGTTGACTGCCCCAAATTTTGTTCCTTTACCTTTGGATTTAGCTGGTAGATCTGTCTGGGTTTGCTGTACTAGGTGGACTCTTCTCTGCTCCTTCCAGTACGGTCTTTACAGACCAGGCACTCTGAATATTATACAGTCATGTTAACAATGGAATATCCTGGGGGTGCTTAAGCAGGAAGATCTAGCACCCCCAACGTCATTGCAAATTATACTATTGTGGGAGGAGGTGGGGGAATGGAATTCTAATATTCAGCATATGTGCCATTCTTTAGATAAATAAATAAAATCTAACACCTTCAATAGACTTTTATCCTACAGCTAGGGGAAGGCAGTTAACTTTTGGCCTGGGGTCGTGTACAAAAGAATGTTTTTTTTTTTTTGTGTACAAAGTCTACAGATCTCAGTGTAGGCGATCCTACTCCCATGTAGCATACAATATATGGGTTTGACAGATGAAGGTTGCTGGAGTTGTGACATCATATATCTCTGCAACTTTGATCTGTGTGACCTACACAGCATGACAGAGCATTCACGGAGATCTGTGCATGCCAAAAAGAAACAGACTATTTCATGCGACAACTGACATGTGTTATGAATGTCATGCCAATAATGACAACTTGTATGTGTTATGAATGTCAAGAGTTCTGCTTCATCTCACCCTGCAGTCACTTGTAAACATCTGCAGGGCCATCATACATACTCATCATAATCTGACAGCCTAGTCAATCACATATACTGCCGTTTTCTGAGAAATATCCCAGTGGGCTCATATACACACCCACACGGTGCTGGATTGGCAAAGGTCCTGCACGGGTTCCTGCCTGACGCCTAACTCCTGCAGTATTCTGTTAACAGATAACCCTATGCACCTCCTGCTATTTGGATCTACTTAAGAATAGTGTAAGATTTAAAAGGAAGCTCACTTTAACATTCTGAATGGATTGGCTGAAAAGTTTAAAGGGACACTATAGTCACTAGAACAACTACAGCTTATTGAATTTGGTGAGAAGAATCATTACCTTCAGGCTTTTTGCTGTAAACACTATCTTTTCAGAGACAATGCAGTGTTTACATTACAGCCTAGTGATAACTTCACTGGCCACTGCTGGGTCATGGCTGCCTAAAATGCATCCAAACATTCAGTGTCTCCTCCCTCTGCATGCAGACACTGAACTTTCCTCATAGAGATTCAATTCATCTCTATGAGGAGAGTCTGATTGGCCAGGGCTATGTTTGAATCATGCTGGCTCTGCCCCTGATCTGCAGCTTTGTCAGTCTCAGCCAATCCTATGGGGAAGCATTGTGCATCAGGCAACCCCTTCTGATGATGTCAGCAGGCAGTGGGTAGGTCTAAAGGAAACCGGGACAAAGGATGCAGCGCCAGACTTGAATACAAGTAAGATTTTACTTTTCTTAGCAAGGCAAGAGGGGACCAGGGTAGCTAGATTGTGGTTTTAACCCTATAGGGTCAGGAATACATGTTTGTGTTCGGGACCATATAGTGCTCCTTTAAATAATGATAATTCCTGTTTTGAACACATCTGTATTAAACCGATCGCAAATATCCTGACTAATTAAGCTAGTCTACTCTCTAGAAAACATCCCATGGCACAGACAGAACCCTCCAGTGCAGATAAATATTGCTGTAATTTTCCTTATAACTGCAGCAGTGTATATAAAATATTATGTGGATCATTCTCAATGCAGTGTTCACTGAAAAGTGATTCTAGTAGAATTGCTTATTTTTGCACAATTTGTTTTTGTATTGTAAGAATCTATTTAATAAAACATTGTTTGCTTTATTGTATTTCTTTTGTAATTAGTTGGGTTTTTTTTAATAGGGGTGTTATCCTGAAAAATGGGGGTTCCTTACTGTGCTACCAGAACGAATTCACGAAACTAGATAACATCACCTTACATCTTTATATGCTCTGTTTACAATAGTTCTTTCTTAGACAGAGTAATAATATTTACACCACAGGTGGTTGGTCAATAGTCTATGTTTAACAAGGTAGCAATTTCCATCAATATGCATCACGTGTTCAGCATGGACATTACATACAATTTATTGCGGAGATTGCCCAAATAACAGCCAAAATACTGCACACCATTGTAGAATCAATTTTAAATTGAGTTATGTTAAAAATTATGGAAAATAACAGGTGAGATTTTTTTTTTATTTTTTTTAAATTCTTTATTTTACTTGTGCATAGAGTTACAGGTTTTTGCAGCGCCACAACAGCGGATACAATAACAATAAGTCAGTAGCAATCTATAACATGGCAGATAAAAAAGCACATTTTATAATTAGTTAAGGTAGTGGTCTAGTAGTTTGTAAGTGAACTATAATGTAACAAGGTTACATCTGCATGCTGTAAATGCTGGTATGTAGGGAACATGAGGCGTAGTGCCCAATTTGTTTAAAGAACGAGGATGTACAGCCCTTACAAGATAAGCTGTCACGTCTTAAGGTAGATGTGTTATTCTCTGGTTGACATAGATAGCCAGACATGGTGGGAATGTGAGATTGGGCTGAAGGACAATAGTGTGGTACCTGTTTTGTATTACTTCTGGGGTTTTAGTAGCCTACTTGCTAGTCTGGTTCGAGGGGTTCAGGCCCAGGTGTATGTGCCTTTGTTCCCCAGGTTTGCGGGGCTTTGTAAGGGGGGGATAAGAAAGTGTCGGTATCAGACGGTCCTATCGTGGTAAGAGTGTGCAGTGGCTGATCAAGTAGTTGGACCAATGAGGTCGTTCATATAGTAGCGTCAGGAGCATGTTAATATTTCAGTATGGAAGCGGTCAGCGCGTATAACAAGAAAACATGAAACAAGATTGCCTATGGGGCAATCCAAAATGCAATAACATACTTAATGGAATAAAGGTGCACTAATTTGAACAGTGTGGTATCATTAAACTAGTAACCTTATACAGTCCAGGTCATATTCAAGTGACAGTGTCCTGTTCCCTCCGGTAATAAAAGGAGGTATGCTGTCAACCGTTGCTTTATAGATTCCCCTTGGGTAGCCATGTTTTGCTTCATGTCAGCAGCGTCCTCCTCAGATGCTCGAAGGCGTTCTGTGATAGCTTGCATTTCCGCAAAGAACATGTCCTGGAAGTGTGCCAAGAGATCATGGATGTCTCGCTTTGTCACAGTTGGTTCTGTTTCAGGCGTAGCCGGAGCTTCATTCCCAGGTACCTTATCCACCACTGGGTCAGTTGTAGTCTCCCGCCAGGGGGATAAGGGTTCCCGTGTGTGAGGCGTCGAGGCCAGCATGTGGCCGATATAGTGGTTTGAGGCAGCAGCGGCCGGAGCCGGTTTTTGTGACTTGCGGCCCATCGAGGGTTCTGGTATGCCCCAAGGTAGGTTGGCTGCTTGTGGGTCTATTTCCCAGTAGTCTCCATCCCAGAGGTGATGCGCGGCTGCCGCGGGAGTCCCGCCCGGTAGGCCCGAAGCACCTTGCACCGGGTTTTCGTGCATGGGCCTAAAAAAAAAGGCATCCACGGGTCCGGTATGCGGACCCCAGTACAAAGATCACTGTTTCGGCCCTGGATGTTTGGCAATACGCCGATTAAGGGTGATTTCTCGGGCGCAGGTCGAGGAGCTGGGCGAAATGGCGTCTGCTCCTGAACGCTGTTAGCTCCACCCCAACAGGTGAGATTTTTATCTTGTAATACCTTTTTTATAGGACTAACAGAATTTTGGTAGGACAAGTTTTTGGGAGAACTTCCCAGGTTTAAGTCAAAATTATATGATAGACTGATGACAGACCCAGGAGCCTTATGATTCTATATCCAAGTGTAACAAATTCATCCGCTTATGGTAATGTGTTAAATGGTATTTACCGACCTGACAGGAATAGTTATGCCCATATACAGCCATGCGCCCGGATACCTGATAAACCCAGCATGTCTAGGGATGTCGGTCGCTGCTTATCTATGCCACCTTATAGCCCCATGACCGCCCACGTTGAGGATGAAGTCGGAGTACGGGTAACATCACGCACATGCGTGTTTTTTTTGTTTTTTTTAAATTCTTTATTTTTATGTTTTTTTGCTCAAACATATATAATAATCAAGCATCAACGGTTGGGCTTACGCAGAAGCCAAATTATGGGTAACATCTTAACAGTTACAGCACATGCATGTTTTTGGGTCAAAGGTGGATTACAGCCAATCTGAATAACAGGGGGGTTATTTAAACTTATTTTTACATTCTCTCATTGCCCCGTTGTGGTTTCTGCCTGATGGTAATCCGAGAGTGCGTTCCTGATCTTGATATTTTGGTATTTGACTTTGGCTTCGTTCTGACTTCTCTGATTTCTGGTATCCTTGACTTTTGGCTTTTTCTCATTGCTGTGGCTGATTCTCTATCCCTGGCCTTGGCAAGTATTCTGACTGTTCTTGGATACGTTAAGTCCGTCCATTCTAAGGTCCGGTTAGACGTTATCTTTAGTCCTAAGTGTGATACAATACTGCATGTGGGATCAATTAGTAATCCTGTAATTACGACATGGCCATAGATCCTGCAGAATTGTGTCAGCACATAGCTGCTTGTAAGAGAATGCTAGAGGAGAATGATCACTGTATGGATCAATTTGCCCAGGCTTTTAGCACGCTCCTTACTCCGATGGCTCATTTACAGCCTGAGGCTTCTCCGACTATGCCTTCACTGCCTACTGTACCCAGGGGCGTATTAGCCGCGAGGCAAACTAGGCATTTGCCTTGGGCGGCAAAAAACACTGCCCCCAAATGCCCAGGGCAAATGCCTTGTTAGACTCGCGGCTAACAGACATAACGGTCGGGCTGGGCAGTGCTGGCAGGCGGCTGGCGAGGGAGCACTTCCTCTGAGCGGTCTGCTCAGCTCCCTCGCGCGCCGCAGACTGAGGCTGGGGGCCGGAATATGACGCCAGAGGAAGAGCTCCCTCGCCAGCCGCCTGCCAGGGCCGCCCAGCCCGACCGGCAGCCACTGGACCACCAGGGAGAGAGAGACCCCCCCCCAGCACTCCCAAAGGTAAGGAGGTTGGGGGGGGGGGGGATGACTGTGTTTGTGTATGTGTCTGACTGTGTTTGTGTCTGACTGTGTGTGTGTGTGTATTTAGAAGGTAGTCTCCTCCTTTACTGTGTTGATTCCCTTTATATATTTAAATGTTTCTATCATATCCCCCCTGTCTCGTCTTTCCTCCAAGCTATACATGTTAAGATCCTTTAACCTTTCCTGGTAAGTTTTATCCCGCAATCCATGAACCAGTTTAGTAGCCCTTCTCTGAACCCTCTCTAATGTATCAATATCCTTCTGAAGATACGGTCTCCAGTACTGTGTACAATACTCCAAGTGAGGTCTCACCAGTGTTCTATACAATGGCATGAGCACTTCCCTCTTTCTACTGCTAATACCTCTCCCTATACAACCAAGCATTCTGCTAGCATTTCCTGCTGCTCTATTACATTGTCTGCCTACCTTTAAGTCATCAGAAATAATCACCCCTAAATCCCTTTCCTCATATGTTGAGGTTAGAACTCTATCAAATATTCTGTACTCTGCCCTTGGGCAGATTGTTAATAAGACACCTACCATCTATACCACTCTATACCAGTCAAGGAGAAACCTTCACCTCTGGCGGTTGAGGCTATAGACGGGAGACCTCTCTCTCAATCACTGATTACCCACAAGACCTTGCCTATCTGTATCAGTATAGGAGTATTAAATAATACTAATTACTAAATTACTTACATTTCAGATAATCGCTTTCCCTTCATGTCTCATCATATTAGGATTCCCTTGGCTCATCAAGCACAACTCTCATATTGACTGGACCAAAGGGGAAATACTGGAATGGGGTGCAGACTGTCAGGAGGGTTATATGTCACCGCTTACTAAAAGAGTGGGCATGGTTACTTTACCTACTATTACATCCACTACACTCGAAATACCCAAGCAGTAGGAAGTTAGGGAAGTGTTCAGTAAAAGTCAAACTGATGTTCTACCTCCACATAGATCATATGATTGTTCCATTGATCTGTTGCCCGGGGCCATGCCTCCTGAAGGGACGGTTTATGCTCTATCCCCACAAGAGAGTACAATCATGGAGGAGTACATTAGAGGTGCCTTAAGTAAGGGTCACATACGCAAATCATCATCCCCTGCTGGTGCAGGTTTCTTTTTCGTGTCTAAAAAGGATGGAGAATTACGACATTGCATTGATTATAGGGCTTTAAACAAAATCACCATGAAAATTGCCTATCCCATTACCCTTATCTCTGAATTGTTTGACAGACTCCAGGGTGCTAAGGTCTTTACCAAACTTGACCCCAGGAGTGCATACAATTTGGTTAGGATTAAGAATGATCACGAGTGAAAATGGCATTTAATACTAGAATTGGCCACTATGAATATCTTGTTATGCCCTTTGGGTTATGCACTTTTATACCTTGATGATATCCTCGTTTATTCCCCCGACATCCAGACCCATCATGATCATGTTAAACAAGTATTACAAACTTTACTCAAGAATGATCTTTATTGCAAACTTGAAAAATGCATGTTTGAACAACTTGAAGTTCAGTTTTTGGGATATAATATATCTGCCTCTGGTTTCCAGATGGAGAAAAACTAGAGGCTGTTCTGGACTGGCCATTACCCAACAGGTTAAAGGCCATTCAAAAGTTCATTGGTTACTCCAATTATTACAGGAGATTCATAAAAGATTTCTCTTCAGTAATAGCCCCCATCACCAATATGACACGCAAGGGGGCTTTGAAAGTCTCAAGAAATTGTTTGCTTCTGCAGACAAATTAATACATCCTGACACTAGCAAAGCTTTCATACTTGAGGTTGATGCCTCCGAAGCAGGGGTCATGGATGTCCTTTCCCAGAGAGAGTCAATATGCCCCTTTGCATCCTTGTGGTTACTTCTCCAGAAAGTTGTCACCAGCTGAGCATAATTATGACATAGGTAACAGAGTGTCATGGATCTTACCTGGAGTGGGAGTCCGGCACGCAGAGTTAAAGCACCCTTTGCAATTCGACACATGCCGAGGGGACTCAGGACAGAAATCCCCAAGGTTGTGACACAGTGCACTGGGGCTGAAATAACCACTGCTTCCTTGAACGCAGTACAGACAAGGGATATCCAGAAGAGTAGTCAGTATTAGAATCAGAAGTCAGGACAGGCGGCAATCAGGCGAAAACAGTAGACGAGCAGGGGATCAAAACCAGGAGTCAGATGAATAGCAGTGAAACCAAACAGGAACAGGAAACACGATCTGACGAGAACCAGCCTTGTGGGGTTTAAATAGGGAGTCTCAGCCAAGGAAACAGGAACAGATGTGTAAATTCCAGACATACAGGCTCAGATTACAGGAACCCAGGAGCAACTAGAAACAGTCAAAGATGCATGGAGCCCAATGTAAGGATACTGGCTGGGATGCAGGAAACTCAGGTTCGATCCCAGCCAGACCCAAATACACAATATTGTGTAAAGCACAATGGTGATCCTGACACAGAGAACTGTTGGCCATTATATTGGCGCTCATGGAATGGCAACATCTTTTGGAAGGTTCCAAAAGCACCTTTACTGATTATAACCGATCACAAGAATCTGGCCTATATTGGTGATGCCAAACATTGGTCTTCTAGATGGTCTCTGTTCTTGTCCTGCTTTAACTTTATTATTACTTACAGACCTGGTCCTAAAAATGTTAAAGCTGATGCCTTAACTAGACAATTTGGCGAAGAGACAAAACTACAACAAGAGACGTCACCCATTGTTCCTCCTGAGTGTATCATAGCAGCCACTGTCCTTTCATGGTGGCTCAGTCCCAGGCACCTAGCAATAAACCTCTAGGTAAATTGTTTATTCTATTACAGGAAAGAGGTGTTGAAAATATTCCATGACAATGTTACTGCTGGGCATCCGGGTATAAATAAGACTTTATCCGCTGTTTCCAGATCATTTTGGTGGGAGTCACTCAGAAGGGATGTGAAGGATTATGTGGAAGCATGTTCTGTTTGTGTAGTCTCTAAGGTTCCAGACACACTTCTGTGTGGATTATTACATCCACTTCCCATACCCAGTGTTCCATGGTCTCATCTGTCTATGGATTTCATTGTGGACCTACCTAGTTCTAATGGTTATACCACCATCCTTATGGTAGTTGACCACTTTTCCAAAATGGCACATTTCATTCCATTCGAAAAATTGCCATCTTCTCAGGATCTATTCCTCATATTTATACGCAACATTGTTAGGCTTCATGGGATCCTTCAAAATATTGTGTCAGATAGGGGTTCCCAATTTGTGTCAAGATTCTGGAGGGCATTCAATAAACAGTTGGGCA